TATCACAAACTCAATCATCAGACAGCAACTAGAGAAAAAGATATCTTCGTGAACAACAGGAGGAGCAAAACTCGACGAAGCAGGCACAAGGCCCGGCCCACGAACCGTCGATACAGGGATACTGAAAAAAGACTACTTGGTAGTTGTCAACAAGCATGGGAGGATTTCATACGTGGTCTACAAGATGCAGTGTAGCAAAAGAAAGTGGAAGTGCTGCGACCAATGCAATCTACCAGACTACTGAATACTGGTCGATCCAGCTAATGCTTCAAATGTGTTATTAGTTACTACTCACCCATGTGTTGTTTGACAACTAATCGAGCAGCAAATCGAGTTGCTGCCAGCAATGTACTCCTCATGTAGTCATGCTAGAGCTTACGAGACTTACGCATTTCATGGCTAAAATTCGCACTCGCCGACCTGATAGCCAACTTGGTGACAAGGGACAACGAGCAACCGCCCAAAAATGACGTATGCATAGGCTATGCAATGCAGAACAGTCATCGTCAGGAATGCAAAATCGACATCCATTGCTCGTAAGGTCAATTCTCTGGATATCAAGGAGAAAAACTGGCAGCCGGAGGTTCAGATGACTCGTGTACACTCGCAAGATAAAATTCGGCGTACGAAAATCGCCAGACTGGCGAAAGGAACGGATCATCAGAAACCTGAAAAGGTCAACTCAACGCGAAAGGAACAAACTAAATGAATAAATGGGTGAATAAAAGAACAAACGAATGATGGATGGATGAGACTGCGACGCGATAATCAACCAATTAATCAACGAATGAGTAGAGGAGTGGAGTACTGGCTGACTAAATGAATAAATAATTGAATGGAGAGGAGATGAAAAGACTATATGAATGCTTGAACAAATGAATGAGTATGAATGAACGAAAAATCAAATGGAAGAATTAATAAACGAATAAAAAATAGCAACCATACAAATAGACACCTACCGCATGGTCTTAAGACGTTAGCCGCCCGCAGAAGATTTATATCCACAAGACGGGCCAGAACCTGATCCACTGTGAAGCCGCTGCATCCCAAAGCCCTAAGCAGCTCCTCCGACGGGCTTTGTCCACGGATGGCGACCTGCCGTAGAAAATAAATCTCCTGGCATGATAAGCAAGTAGAAGCAGCTAAATAAATAATACAGTAGAAAAAATATAATTGCAGTATATGAAACTGCAACTGACTGAAATGCCAACAGAATAAATGTGCCTGACAAAAAGAACCGTTAAAATCGGTAAAGATAATTAGTCGTCGACATAGTGATGGATATTCCTATCCTTGAGAACATAAATAGACCTTACGAAAGAGGAAGAATAAGGCATCATAAGCTAAACACTGGGTGGCTATCCGCAGTCCGAAATTCTGAAATCCGTAACATTGTATTAACTCGTTTCTCAGTCATGAGTTTTTTTTTAAAAATATCTTTGGATAATATGAACATCGGTTCTAACACCCTTCCCTTCAACCTTCCATCGGTAGTCGTATCTTTCGATACCCAGTCAGTCAGAAAAGAGAATCACTCTGACCCTAACGAAGGGAAGGTCAAACGTTGTCGGAAGTTCTCTACGTCAAATTCGTGTGCACACTTTCTCACTACCCATTTTGTCTGCAAGGTCAAAAGAACACGTCAAACATCATATTTTCATGCTTTCATTTTATTAAAGAAAAATCCAGTAAAGGTCCTAAGGTCCTATTATCCACCGTCTCTTTCTTCCCTTTCAACTAATATATGGCGTAAGAAAATGTTTTTCTCGATCTGATGATGCTGCACTGCGACGAAAACTTGGTTGCTTCAATCTGTGGTAATTAAATGTTTCTTTTACTTATGATTTTTAAGGAGCTGAAACGCTGCTTTCTGGAACATCCGTAACTTTCCTCTCACAACAGGCAGTTCTTTCAGATTGGAACTCACTGACATGGGCCATATATAGAATCGGATTCATTATTTAATGTTTAAGTGGAAAATTTAAATGGTTGGGCTTAATAGTTTATATTTCGGAATTTTCCGAACCGTTTGAGTTTCTTCATCAATTCCCGTTTCGCTAT